TTTTTTTTTTTTTTTTTTTTTTTTTTTTGGAGACAGAGTCTCACTCTTATCACCCAGGCTGGAGTGCAACAGTGTGATCTCAGCTCACTGCAACCTCTACTTCTTGGGTTCAAGTGATTCTCCTGCCTCAGCCTCTCAAGTAACTGGGATTACAGTCACCTGCCACCATCGCTGGCTAATTTTTGTATTTTTTTTTTTAGTAAAGACAGGATTTCACCATGTTGGCCAGGCTGGTCTTGCACTCCTGACCTCAAGTGATCCACCTGTCTTTGCCTCCCAAAGTGCTGGGATTACAGGTGTGAGCCACTGCGCCCGGCTTAATTGCTTTTTAACAATTCAGTATAATAGTGACTTGCTGCAGGAGATGTGTTGAAGTGAATTAGATAATACTGACATGATTTCCAAAGCTTGTCCTAAGACCTCCTGAGCACTGCTACCTTAACATACTGGTTCTAAGATATTGGTGACTCAGGATTTATTTAATGACTGAGAAGAGTCATTGTTGTAAACAAATTCTAAGGCAAGAGTGCCTTAAATATTCTTACATGGAGAATTTTTTTTTTTCTGCTTTACTGTCTTGAGTAATATCTTTTGTTTTACTTGTAGATTTGATGGTCCTCGAAGATTTGAGGATTTAGGGTCAAGGTGTGAAGGACCGAGACCCAAAGGGCCTCGTTTTGAAGGAAATCGCCCCGATGGGCCAAGACCCAGATATGAAGGTCACCCAGCAGAGGGCACTAAAAGCAAATGGGGAATGATTCCCCGGGGGCCAGCATCTCAATTTTATATTACCCCCAGTACATCCCTAAGTCCTCGGCAGAGTGGACCACAGTGGAAAGGCCCCAAACCAGCTTTTGGACAGCAGCATCAGCAGCAACCTAAGTCACAAGCAGAACCTCTTTCAGGAAACAAAGAACCATTAGCAGACACCAGTAGTAACCAGCAGAAGAATTTTAAAATGCAATCAGCTGCATTTTCCATTGCTGCAGATGTAAAGGATGCCAAGGCGGCTCAGTCAAATGAGAATCTAAGCGACTCTCAACAAGAGCCACCTAAAAGCGAAGTCTCGGAAGGGCCCATAGAGCCTTCTGATTGGGACCAGAATGCTCAAAGTATGGAGATTCAAATCGACAAAGCCCAAGCTGTTACTCAGCCTGTACCCCTTGCAAATAAGCCTGTACCTGCTCAATCTACTTTTCCTTCAAAAACAGGGGGGATGGAGGGAGGAGCAGCAGTAGCAACATCATCATCATTAACAGCAGATAATGATTTTAAACCTATGGGTATTGGTCTACCCCATTCAGAAAACAACCAAGATAAAGGCCTGCCTCGGCCAGATAATAGAGATAATAGATTAGAAGGCAATAGAGGCAGCAGCTCATCTTACAGAGGTCCCGGGCAAAGCAGAATGGAAGACACACGGGATAAAGGACTAGTAAACAGAGGTCGTGGTCAGGCAATCAGTCGAGGCCCAGGATTGGTCAAGCAAGAAGACTTTCGGGATAAAATGATGGGTAGGAGAGAAGACAGTAGAGAGAAGATGAATAGAGGAGAAGGTAGCCGGGACAGAGGGCTGGTGAGACCTGGAAGCAGTCGGGAGAAAGTGCCAGGTGGTCTGCAAGGCAGCCAGGACAGGGGTGGAGCTGGCAGCCGAGAAAGGGGACCACCTCGGAGGGCTGGTAGTCAGGAGAGAGGACCTCTTCGAAGGGCTGGGAGTAGGGAGAGAGTACCACCCCGAAGAGCTGGGAGCAGGGAGAGAGGACCACCTCGAGGGCCTGGTAGTCGAGAAAGGGGACTGGGAAGATCAGATTTTGGTCGTGATAGAGGTCCATTCAGACCAGACCCAGGAGATGGTGGGGAAAAAATGTATCCATATCACCGAGATGAGCCTCCTAGAGCTCCATGGAACCATGGAGAAGAGAGAGGGCATGAAGAGTTCCCATTAGATGGTAGAAGTGCTCCAATGGAACGAGAAAGGCTTGATGACTGGGATAGGGAGAGATACTGGAGAGAATGTGAACATGACTATCAAGATGATACACTAGAGCTCTATAACAGAGAGGACAGGTTCTCAGCACCACCATCTCGGTCTCATGATGGAGATAGGCGAGGCCCTTGGTGGGATGACTGGGAGAGAGACCAGGATATGGATGAGGACTACAATAGGGAAATGGACAGGGACATGGACAGGGATGTGGATCGGATTGGAAGACCCATGGATATGTATGATAGAAATTTGGATAATGAGTGGGACAGAGATTATGGGAGACCACTGGATGAACAAGAATCACAGTTTCGTGAACGGGATATTCCATCTCTTCCACCTTTACCGCCCCTCCCACCTCTTCCACCTTTGGATAGATATCGGGATGATAGATGGAGAGAAGAAAGAAATCGAGACCATGGGTATGATCGAGATTTCCGTGATAGGGGTGAGTTGAGGATTCGAGAGTATCCAGAAAGAGGAGATACATGGCGGGAAAAGCGAGATTATGTTCCTGACAGAATGGACTGGGAAAGAGAACGGTTGTCAGACAGATGGTACCCATCTGATGTGGATAGACATTCCCCCATGGCGGAACATATGCCCTCCTCACATCATTCCTCAGAAATGATGGGGTCCGATGCAAGCTTAGACTCTGACCAAGGCCTTGGAGGGGTAATGGTTCTCAGTCAGAGGCAGCACGAAATCATTTTGAAAGCTGCACAAGAACTGAAAATGCTTCGGTAAGTTGACTCTTTCAGATCATTTCTTTTAGTAAAAACCACATTCAGACTGCTGATATGATATGATATATTTGAATGTAATCATTTACTTCAAGTTCTTAACACATACTTTTAATTTATATTTCTGGTCATTCAGTGCTGTTTTTAGGGTTAGGATGAGTATTTAAGAACTCTGTTAATTATAAACGTATGCCCTAAAATGTGAAAATTAATTACTGTCTTGGCCTTTGTAGATGTGTTGCTGGCATGCCATGCCTGTGCATGTTGTAGGTGTCAAACTTCAACTTTTCAGAGCTCTGGATTTCACAGGGCTCATATGTAACCTTCATTTTTTCCAGCTAGCAGTTTGTTCGTTGGTATTAGATCTGATAAACTTTATATTCACTAATCATTGATATAATTTTGGAAAGTGCTGTATTTTTTGTATTTTTCTTTGTTGAAGCTAAGAATGGTTTGCTTTGGAGCATCCTCAGATTTGTCTAACTACTGATACTTTCTTTTTGGGGTGTTTTGTCTTTCATTATAACTAAAAGCAGGTATTTCTCCTTGAGGATGGTACTTGTTTCTATGTAACCAAATACTTTCTTTGTGAAATGGAAAATAGGATATTTTGACTTACAATCAACTATGTATAGGTATCTACATAATTTTCCCGTTACAGTAACAGTAATAACAAAAGCTAACATTTATTGCATGCTTACTCTGGGCCAGGAACTGTACTAAGTGTGTTGTGTATTATAACTCATTTAATCTTTAAACCAGCTATATCTTGGGATAGGAATTTAGAAGTCAGTGGCAGGTTGTAAGCTTTTTTAAAGCAAATTTTTTTTAGAAAAAATCAACTAATGATTAGGTTTTAATAGATTCCAATATATTTCTTCCATTTTTAAATTCTGGTTTATATTTGTAGATCTTAACAATAAATTATAACTTTAGAACTAGGAAAGAAAAATATGGTGAAGAAACAGTAATGACAAAAGACCAGATATGGCAGGTTTCTGTGGTCTATAGCTAAGAGGTTTATTTTTTTCCAGGTTATTCATGAGGAAAATGTAGAAAGCATGCTATAGAGTATATAGCTACTACACTATTCACTTTTAAGTTGTAGATACCTTTAATTTAACACCTACCATGTAACTGGGCACTTGCTAATAATTGAGTGTATATTATGCCAGTCTGTCTATCTCAAATTCTTCTATCTCAAAGGCCTGCAAAGATAAGGTAGTATTATCCCCACTTCACAAGTGGCACTAAGGCTCAGAGAGGTTAAGTTCTCTTGGCTAGCAAGTGTCAAACCCAGCATTTAAACTCAATCTGTCCAACTCTAAAATCTGTGTTGTTAATGGAGAATACCAAGCTGGTTGGTGGTGTTAAGCTGCCAAGGTTTCTTTTTCCTTTCGAAATTTCTTTTTAATTCATTATTGCTTTGCATGGCAATGCTGGGTAAAAGGTGCTGCTGCTGCTTCATCCTTTTTTAAAGCTTTCTGGGCAACATGAACATAATTAAATAATATATATGGAGTGATAGATAATGTGATCATAGTTGAATACAAGTAGATTATGTTATGTCAGTGTAAAGTCATAAGGAGTATCATAAGGGATGTGATTTACCTGAGCAGAAAGTAGCCTTACATACTTGACCTTTTGGGTTCATTTGGGTCACTTACTTTACTGTAAGGAGAAAATTGTAAGAGGTCTTAAGACGTTGTAGTGGATTTTACCCATGTTTAAGGTGGACATTGTGAAGAAAAGTGAAAGGAATTTAATCAGAAATTTAAAGAAAAACCAAAGGACTACATAATTATCTTCAGGAAGATGAAGTGTTGTTTTTAAAGATATAGACTGACAATTGTTTTCACCATCTACAGCAGGGGCCATAAATTAAAATGTCCCCAAGAATCAGATAACAAAAATGAGTGAAAGTGGGCCAAGTGGAACTTTGTAGAGTATGGTGAAGATTGTGACAGGTTGTTTCATCTAACATGGACAGCCTTGCCGCACTCGGCTGATTGTTGGCATGTGGGAATGTAGACCTGGTGTTACCAAATCTCTTTAAGGTTTGAATTTATATGTGAAATATTTTGCTTTGTAAATAGCTAATTCAAATTTTAAAAACTGATGTGAAAGCCACATTTTTTTTTGAGTTGGAGTCTCGCTCTGTTTGCCAGGCTGGAATGCAGTGGCATGATCTCTGCTCACTGCAATCTCTGCCTCCCGAGTTCAAGTGATTCTCCTGCCTCAGCCTCCTGAGTAGCTGGCATCACAGGCACATGCCACCATGCCCAGCTAATATTTGTATCTTTGGTAGAGACAGGGTTTCACCATCTTGGCCAGGATGGGCTTGATCTCTTGACCTGTGATCCACCCGCCTCAGCCTCCCAAAGTTTTGGGATTACAGGCATGAGCCACTGCACCCAGCCTAAAGCCACATTTTAAAAACCTTCTTAGGCCATATTTGGTGCATGAGCCACCATTTTGCAACCTCCGGTGTAAAGAGTTGAAAAAAGTAGTCTGGGCACGGTGACTCACGCCTTGTAATCCCAGCGCTTTGGGAGGCTGAGGCGGGCAGATCACTAGGTCAGGAGTTCAAGACCAGCCTGGCCAATGTGGTGAAACCCTGCCTCTACTAAAGAAATATAAAAAATTAGCCAGGTGCGGCAGCCTGCATCTGTTGTTCCAGTTACTCCGGAGGCTGAGGCAGAAGAATCACTTGAACCCAGGAACCAGAGCTTGTAGTGAGCTGACATTGTACCACTTGTACTCCAGCCTGGGCAACAGAGTGAGACTTTGTCTACAAAAAAAAAAAAAAGTTTAAAGAAATAGCGAGGGAGCTTTTGGTTGGATTAAAGAAAAACATAACAGCTGGATGAGATAGTAGAAAACTACTGAGACAGGTTGTAGAATCTATCCTTGAATATCTTTAATAATATATAATTATTTTTATGTCTTAGATGACTGATGAGTTAGCTACATAAAAGCAAAAGAGAGTAATCCCAGAGGTGCCCATTGTATGGCCACTGCAGAGAATTTTAGGGCAAGGTTTTTTAGGCCTCTTCTTTTTAATTCAATACTAGCTGTAGCCACTTAGGAATGGCATAAACATGCTTTATGTACCATGGCAATTTTATTTGTTTGCAGGGAACAGAAAGAACAGCTTCAGAAGATGAAAGACTTCGGGTCTGAGCCACAGATGGCTGACCATCTACCACCTCAGGAATCAAGACTGCAGAATACATCTTCAAGACCTGGAATGTATCCGGTATGGGAGAATGTGTGCTCAGAAAATGAAATGGTTTCTACTTTGTATGTTTTTATGTTGTTTAATTTTTTAAAAATTAAATAACTACAAATTTCCTCTCTAAAATTTAGATTTTTGGTAAAGTAAAAGTTTATAGTGATTGACCTTTGAACATCTTAAAAGCAGTTCAAAAGTGTGGCAGAGATCCCCCTTTTCCCCAGGATTTGGATAAGTACACCAGCTACTCCTGAACTACATAGTTTCTGTCCACAAAATGGTAGAATTTTTCTAATAATTTTTTAAGTAAAATAGTCCTGTTGACTGGCCACAGTGGCTCATGCCTGTCATTCCAGCAGTTTGGGAGTCTAAGACAAGAGGATTGCTTGAGCCCAGAAGTTTGACGCCAGCCTGCACAAGACAGTGAGACCCAGGTCTCTACGAAAAAAAAAAAAAAAGCCCTGTTTTCCATCTAGGCAGGGCTAGACGTGGGCCTCATGGTGCTTCCTATCTTTTTAGGCTACTAGTCCTTCAGATGGGGAAATGTCATACCCTAGTACATACTTCAGAACTGTTCAGGCAGTATGAAAAGGGGTGTTTATGTTAAAGACTTGAGTAAGTTCTCCTTTTTTATCCAATAGCATGCCAGGACTCCTTTTGTTTTTGTTTTGTTACTTTACATTTAAGCCAGTAATGGGCTTTTCAGATGTTTTAAATGTTATCATTCAAATGGTTTTATGACAGCATAATGAAGAAAAAAGCTCTACTGAACCATTTCCTCAAATTAACTTTCTTTATTTCTCAGCGTTCCCTTCCATTCTGGTCTAATGTCAAACACTAAGACATAATTGTTAACATCAGTGACCCACCATGGTGTTGTTGACTTTCCAGATCAGATCTCCTGACCTTTGTATGCATTTGCCTGTCCGCAGAGTTTCTGTCTGTGGATGTGACTCCTGTCAAATGCAGCATGTTCAAATTGGGGCTCATTATCATACCCCATTAAATGTTCATTCTCCTCACCATCACCTATCACCCTAACTTGAAATCTGAAAATCCGTCTTGCCCCTGCCATACCCTGCCATAACCAGTCATACTACTGATTGATTTTATCTCTTTTGAATAAAATTCCGAAGTATAACTGCACCCATTTTAAGCCTATATTTCAAGTTTTGACAGATGTATACCAAAAGATACATTCTCATCACCCTTAAAAGTTCTCATGCCTTTTTGTAGTTGGGACTACCCCTACACTCCACTTCAGGCAGCATTGATGCGATTTGTGGTCAATGGACATTTTAAAATTAACCTCACCATGTGGCTACCTGGCTTTAAAACACTTCAGTGTTCTCCCATGCCTTCAGGATGAAATCTAGAATCTCTTTCATGGCCTTTCAAGTTCTTCCTGAACTGGCCTGACCTCTGCTGACCATTGCTTGCTACGCCACTCTCTGATGCTTCATTTTCCCTCCTCATGGAGCTACTTAACAATTCTGTGAATGTGCTAGATTCTTTTACTTCTTCATTCCTTTGTATATGCATGTTATTCTCTAAGCCAAGAGTTTCTTTTCTTTGCCATCCCATCCCCTCCTGCAATTGGCTGATGCTTATCTTTTAGAACGCGGCTCTGCTATCTTCTCATCCACCTATGTAAGGCAGTTACCCCCATACATACTCTGTAACATCTTGTACTGGTCTCTGTTGTCATCTTTATCATGTTGCATTTTGATCGTCTGTTTTCTTGTCTGTCTTTCCTTCTAAATTGAGTCCCTAATATAAGAATGATAGGCCGGACACGGTGGCTCACGCCTGTTATCCTAGCACTGTGGAAGGCTGAGGCAGGCGGATCACTTGAGGTCAGGAGTTGGAGAGCAGCTTGACCAACATGGAGAAACCCCATCTCTACTAAACATACAATATTAGCCGATCGTGGTGGCACATGCCTGTAATCCCAGCTACTAGGGAGGATGAGGCAGGAGAATCGCTTGAATCTGGAAGGCAGAGATTGCGTTGAGCCAAGATTGCGCCATTGCACTCCAGCCTGGGAAACAAGAGTGAAACTCCGTCTCAAAAAAAAGGTGGAGTTTTTTGAGATGGAGTCTCTCTCTCGCCCAGGCTGAAGTACAGTGGCACCATCTCGGCTCACTGCAGCCTCCACTTCCCAGATTCGAGCAGTTCCCTGCGTCAGCCTCCTGAGTAGCTGGGATTGCAGGTGCCCACCACCACACCTGGCTAATTTTTGTATTTTTAGTAGAGATGGGATTTCACCATGTTGGCCAGGCTGGTCTTGAAATCCTGACCTCGTGATCCACCCACCTGGGCCTCCCAAAGTGCTGGGATTGCAGGCATAAATCACTGCGCCTATCCAAGAATTATCTTTTATCTTTGCTTGTCTTAGTAAATAATAAAAGCTCCTGATCATGGATTCACATTTCTGCTTTGTTTGCTTAACAATTCATAATCATCTTTCCATATTGTTATATGCTGTATTATTTTTTGATTCATGATAATTTTTAATTAATTCCATTTCTGTTGAAATTGATTTATAATCTTTCACTGTGATTCTTAATATTACTCTAATGAATGTCTTCTTTTAGATAACTCTTTTTTTTTTTTTTTTTTTTTTTTTTTTGAGATGGAATCTCACTCTGTTGCCCAGGCTGGAGTACAGTGGCACAATTTCTGGCCACTGAAACCTCTACCTCCCAGGTTCAAGCCATTCTCCTACTTCAGCTTCCTGAGTGGCTGGGATTACAGATGTCTGCCACCCACCATGCCTGGCTAAATTTTTTGTATTTTTAGTAGAGACGAGGTTTTACCACATTGGACAGGCTGGTCTTGAGCTCCTGACTGCAGGTGATCCACCTGGCTCAGATTCCCAAAATGCTGGGATTACAGGTTTGAGCTACTGCATTCGGCTGATAGCTTTTTATGAGTCAATTGGTTTTTTTTTAAAGTTTTATGTTGTTGTTTTTGTTTTGTCTTTTTTGTTTTGCTCTGTTGCCTTGGTGGCTAGAATACAGTGGTGCAATCATAGCTCACTGTAGCCTCAAACTCCTGGGCTCAAGTGATTCTCCCTCCTCAGCCTCCTCAGTAACTGGGACTACAGGCGCACACCACCATGCCTGGCTAACTAAAAAAATTTTGTTGGTAGGGGCGGGATCTCGAATTGTTGCCCAGGCTAGTCTCGAACTCCTAGGCTTAAGTGATCCTTGTGCCTTGGCCTCCCAAAGCGTTGAGAGTGCCTGCACCCAGCCAGCAGTGATTTTAAAGTCCCAAAGTGGACTACTTCAAAGAATAAGCATACCTTTAAAAATTTTTTTGAGACAAAGTATAGTCTCTCGCCCAGGCTGGAGTGCAGTGGTGCAATCTCAGCTCACTGCAATCTCCACTTCCCCAATTCAAGCAATTCTCCTGCCTCAGCCTGCCAAGTAGCTGCGATTATAGGTGCCCACCACCACACTTGGCTAATTTTTTTGTATTTGTAGTAGAGACAGGGTTTCACCGTGTTGGCCAGGCTGGTCTTGAACTCCTGACCTCAGGTGATCCACCCTGCCTCAGCCTCCCAAAGTGCTAGGGTTGCAGGCATGAGCCACCACACCTGGCCCAGAATAAGCATACTTTTAAAAAATGATTCCTGTGACATAGCCAAACAGCTCTCTATAATAGTTGTATAATAGTTATACAACTATTATACAACTATTGCTCACGCTTGCAATCCCAGCACTTTGGGAGGCGGAGGCAGGCAAATCACATGAGGTCAGGAGTTCGAGACCAGTCTAGCTAACATGGTGAAACCAGGTGTCTATAAAAATGCAAACATTAGCTGGGCTTGGTGGCACGCGCCTATAATCCTAGTTACTCCAGAGGCTGAGGCAGGAGATGCTTGAACTTGGGAGGTGGAATTTGCAGTGAGCCAAGATTGTGCCACTGCACTCCAGTCTGGGTGACAGATCAAGACTTCATCTCAGGTGGATCACCTGAGATGTCAGGAGTTTGAGAGCAGCCTGGTCAACATGGTGAAACCCCATCTCTACTAGAAATACAAAAATTAGCTGGGCATGGTGCTGCGCGTCTGTAATCCCAGCTGCTAGGGAGTCTGAAGCAGGAGAATTGTTTGATCCTGAGAGGCAGAGGTTGCAGATCATGCTACTTCACTTCAGCCTGGGTAGCAAAGCGAGACTCTGTCTCAAAAATAAATAAATAAAAAGAAAGAAAATAGTTGTGTTACATCTCTATATAGCCTTGTAAGCATTAGTTACTTAATATTTTTGGTATATTTAGTAATTTTAATACAGCATTTTTTATTACTAGTGACATGAATATTTTCTCATATTTGTTAACTATACTTTCTTCTTACAGAAATTCTGTTTGTGTCCTTCACCCATTTATCTGTTTGAGGTTTTTTGTTTTTTAAAAAAAACTCATATTATCCTAAATATAGATATTGACCCTTTCGCATATAAACAATTTAAAAAAAAAATTTATCTTGCTCTCACTGTATAGAATGAAGAAAGCACTTTTTGGTTTATTTATAAGTGTATTTTTAAGAGATCTTAAGATATTTAAAACTTGTCTCAATGGATATGTCTAGACAGACAGAATAGCCTCATCCTATACTGGCATTTTCTTAACAAAGTTTACCATACCATACTTTAATTAAAACTTTATCTTTAGGTAATAGCCATTTGTCTTTAACTATAGCCAGTAGTGACCTCCAGTCAAATTATGTTCCTTCCATATTAGTCAACTCCATTTTATTTTTCACAAAGTTTATTTTTAAAGTACTGCCTATGTATGGGCAAATATATAAAAAATGCATATTGTGGGCTCTCCAGGGTCTAAAATAGCTGTAAATAAAGAAAAAAAATCCTAGAATCACAGAGAAGTAAAAAACCAAACCAAAACAAAAAAACGAAAGAAGAAACCAAACCAACCAGACGCAGTGAACTAAGACATGGGAAATAAGTGTTTGAATTCACGCTTATGAAGATTAAAATAGAAACTAGGCATAGTGGCTCACACCTGTAATCCCAGCACTTTGGGAGGCTGAGGCGAGAAGATTGCTTGAGGCCTGGAGTTCAAGACCAGCCTGGGCAACATAGCAAGACCCTGTCTTCACCAAAGAAAGAATAAAAATAAAATTTACGTGGCAGCTGGGTTTCAGTATTGGGTAGATAGGACCTATCTGCTAAGAAGTGCTACCATCTCCTTAATAGACATTTCTGATGGCACCTGGTGATGCTTTGGGAAAACAAATGTAATCAGGGCACCCAACAGTGGCACTCCTCAGAGAGATTACTAGATGTTCATTTAGTTTATTTTGTTTCGTATTACTCAAGTTTTGTGTTGGTCCCAGCTTTCCCTGGACTATTATTGTCAACCAGGTAACTGAAAGGAACAGAAGTGTGGAGGCTCTCTAGGATTTCTGTCACTGGAAATTTACTGTTTTTATGGAGGAGATAGGTTTCTAGGGTAGGAAGATAGTTCTTATTTATTCAGTTTTCTCCTTCCTGCACACTGAGAGAGTGGGAAGATAGTTCTTAATCAAGGGGTGAAAATCAGAATTATTTATGGAGGGTATTTTTTTTTTTTTTTTTAATTTTAAATTACTGGTGGGACCCCACCTACAGAAGTTCAGTAGATTTGGTGTTGGTCGGGGACGTTTGAATCTTAAGTGGCCACCATCCTAATTTAGAGTATGGAGATTTTAAAACATTTTCATCACCCCTGTAAGATCACTGCACCAGTTTATAGTTAGTTAATCCTCATTCCTACCCTAGACCCAGGCAACCACTGATCCACTCTGTCTATATAGATTTGCCTTTCTGGGCATTTATATAAGTGAATTATATAATATGTAGTCTTTTGTGTCTATCTTCTTTCACTTAGCATAATCTTTTCAAGTTTATCCATGTTATAACATGACTCAGTACTTCATTTCTTTTTACTGCTTTTAAAATTTCTATTTATAACTTTTTATATGAATATACCACATTTTGTTTAACCATTCACCAGTTGATGGACATGAGGGTTGTTGAATAGTATGGCTATGAATATTTGTGTGCAAGTTTTTGGATAGATATGTTTTTGCTTTTCTTGGATAGATACCTAAAAATGAAATTGCCGAGCCATATGATAAATGTATGTTTAGCTGGGAGTTTTGGCTCAAGCCTGTAATGCCAGCACTTTGGGAGGCTGAGGTGGGTGGATCACCTGAGGTCAGGAGTTGGAGACCAGCTTGGCCAAGGGAAACCCTGACTCTACTAAAAATATAAAAAATTAGCTGGTAGTGGTGGCGCATGCCTGTAATCCCAGCTACTCAGAGGCTGAGGCAAGAGCAGTGCTTGAACCCGGGAGGCAGAGGTTGCAGTGAGCCAAGATTGAACCATTGCACTCCAGCCTGGGCAACAAGAGCAAGATTCCATCTCAAAAAAAAAAAAAAAGTATATTTGACTTTTTGAGAGAAATTGGCAAACCATTTTCTTTTCTTTTTTTTTTTTTTCCCTTTGAGGCAGAGTCTGTTTCTGTCGCCCAGGCTGGAGTGCAGTGGCTCATCCTCGGCTCACTACAACCTCTGCCTCCTGAGTTCAAGTGATTCTCCTGCCTCAGCCTCCCAAGTAGCTGGGACTGCAGGCGCATGCCACCACGCCCGGCTTAGCAAACCATTTTCTATAGTGGCACCATTTATTCCTACTAACAGTCTAAAAGAGTTTTTCTTTTCTATATTCTTGCCATCATTTGTTTTTGTCTGTCTTATTCATTATAACCATTCCAGTGGGTATGAAAATGGTATCTCATTGGGATGTTAATTTGCATTTCCCTAATGACTAATGGTGTTGAGTATCTTTTCATGTGCTTATTGGGCGTTCATATGTTTCCTTTGGAAAAATATCTATTCTCAGCTTTGGCCATATTTTTTTTTACGATTTGCCTTATTAAGTTTAAGTGTTTTGTATATTCTGAATTCAAGTTCTTTATCAAATATAAGATTTGTGTATATTTTCTCCCTTTCTGTGGCTTGTCCTCATTTTGATGGTATGTTTTAAAGCACGAAATTTTGAGTGAGTCCAAGGTGTTAACTTTTTTCTTATAAATTGAGAACCAGATTTTAATTTCCACTGATCTGTAAAAACATAGTGGTACGCATGCCCGCTAAGCTCTTGACTCTGTTCTCTAGCCTCCAGGGTCCTATAGACCACCCCCTCCTATGGGTAAACCACCAGGTTCAATTGTAAGACCTTCTGTTCCACCAGCAAGATCATCTGTTCCTGTAACCAGGCCGCCTGTCCCAATACCACCACCTCCACCTCCTCCACCTCTACCTCCTCCCCCTCCTCCAGTGATAAAGCCGCAAACATCAGCTGTAGAACAGGAACGATGGGATGAAGATTCTTTCTATGGGCTCTGGGATACAAATGATGAACAAGGACTGAACTCAGAATTTAAGTCAGAAACTGCAGCGATTCCATCTGCTCCAGTATTACCACCCCCACCTGTTCACTCTTCCATTCCCCCTCCTGGTGCAGTACCTATGGGTATGCCACCAATGTCTAAGCCACCACCAGTGCAACAGACTGTTGATTATGGCCATGGCCGAGGTGAGTAATGATGGTGAACTTGTACTTGGGATCCTACAGGAATTGTTAGCTTCAGCTTTAGCTTTCTCAAGCTTCACTCTTAGAGTGCTTTTTCTCTGATTTTGTTTACCAGATATATCCACTAATAAAGTTGAACAGATACCTTATGGAGAAAGAATAACTCTACGCCCAGATCCACTACCTGAAAGATCAACTTTTGAGACAGGTAGGATTCCCAGAGAGGTCAGTATTTTTAAACATTTTAGGGCCTAATTATCATGATTTTCCTTTTAGTCAGCTGAAAGATTCTTAAATTGAATTTAGGGCAGAAATTTATACCAGCTCCGAGGTTAGATTTATACTTTTCTCCTTTTATTTCTATAAAAGGGATATAGTTATTTTGTATTAATTGTTTTTGTAGAGCATGCAGGCCAACGTGATCGTTATGATAGAGAAAGAGACCGTGAGCCTTATTTTGATCGCCAAAGTAATGTCATAGCAGATCATCGAGATTTTAAAAGAGATCGTGAGACACATAGAGATCGAGACCGGGATCGTGGTGTTATTGACTATGACCGGGATCGATTTGACAGAGAACGCCGACCCCGAGACGATAGGTATGCTATAAAACAGTCTTTGCTAGGTGTACAAATTATTATATACTTGAATTCAGTAAAAGTTTAAGAGAAATTAAGTAACATATTCTTGTCATGCATGTATATTTGTAATTTGGAGGGGGAAGAATAATTCTGGATCAGTTTTTAGGAAAGTAGGTCTTTGACTTGGTAGCTTGAATTCCGGAGCATTAAATGGGCGATGGAGATAGCCGGAAAGGAATAGAAGTGGTATTATCAATAAAGGTGCAGTCATTACTCAGTAGGCAAGCAGTTTATTTTTGCAATCCATTAGCTTTTTATTTATTATGATTATACCTAAGGGTATTCTGACAGCCAGGCAAGGAGAAGGGGAAGGGAGAAAGCCCACGAACTTTTAAATATTTATTTATTAATTACTGTATTTTATTGAGATGTGGTCTCAGTCTGTCATCCAGGCTGGAATGCAGTGGCACAGTCTCAGCTCACTGCAGCCTCCACCTCTTAGGCTTAAGTGATCCACCCACCTCAGTCTCCTGAGTAGCTGGGGCCATAGGCATGTGCCACCATGCCTGGCCAATTTTTTTTTTGTTTTTTTTTGTATTTTTGGTGAAGATGTAATTTTACCATGTTGCCCAGACTGGTCTCAAACTCCTGAGCTCAAGTGATCCACCTGCCTCGGCCTTCCAAAGTGCTGGGATTACAGGAGTGAGCCACCATGCCCAGCTTTCACATGAACATTTTAGATACGTATATAAAGTAGATCTAAATGGAAAAGCAAAGTCAAAATGTAAATAATTGGCCTGGTGCAGTGGCTCATGCCTGTAATCCTAGCACTTTGGGAGGTCAAGGCAAGCGGAGATCCTGAGCTCAGGAGTTTGAGACAAGCGTGACTCACACGGCGAAACCCCGGCTCTACAAAAAAATAGCAAAAGTTGGCCAGGCAAAGTTGTGTATGCCTGTAGTCCCAACTACTTAGGAGGCTAAGATAGGAGGATCACTTGAACTCTGGAGATCAAGGCTGCAGTGAGCCAAGATCAGGCCACTGCACTCCAGCCTGGTTGACAAAGTGAGACCCCCATCTAAAAAAAAAAAAGTAAATATGGTGTGGAGTACCTGCCTATAGAGAAAATTGGGCAGAGAATGCTGTTGCGTTATAAAGCGGAGACCTCTGAATACTTTTTATTTGCTGAAGCACTTCCTATTATACCTTCTAGAGCTCAGTCATATCGAGACAAAAAAGACCATTCCTCATCCAGAAGAGGGGGTTTTGATAGGCCATCCTATGACCGGAAGTCTGACCGACCAGTCTATGAAGGGCCATCCATGTTTGGAGGTAGAGTGATGCCTTATTTACTGCAAGGATATTAAGAATGTAAAGTATGGGAGATGCTTTCCATTGTAGCTATGGATTTAAACTTTTAGAGTAAAATGTATTCACAGATTTCTTAGAGCTGGCGGCATTATCATAAAAAATAGCAATGTAATTAATGAAATAAAACGTTTACTTTTGAAACAAAGTAGAAACAAAATTACTGATAGTCTCACTACCCACCATACTATAGCTATTATAATTTTGTAGATTTCCTCTCATTCCCTTTTTACAGACGTATTTATGAAGTTGTAATCAAAGTATAAATATGAAGTAGTAATAACAATTTCTTTATCATGATTGTTCTGATTAATATTGTACCATACACATTTTTCATATGTAAAATGATGAAATTTTAATGGCTCTTTGACATTCTATTGAGTGGATAAAATATAAGACCAAGACCCTTATTATTAGGTAATTTAGGCATTGCTTTTAGTTTTTCACTGTTATAATTTACACTTAAACTAGAAACTCATACCTATTTATAGGAATACACTCTCCTAAGATGGTATAACTTTTATTCTTTTTTTTTTTTTTTTTTTGAGACGGAGTTTCGCTCTTGTTACCCAGGCTGGAGTGCAATGGCGTGATCTCGGCTCACCGCAACCTCCGCCTCCTGGGTTCAGGCAATTCTCCTGCCTCAGCCTCCTGAGTAGCTGGGATTACAGGCACGCGCCACCATGCCCAGCTAATTTTTTGTATTTTTAGTAGAGACGGGGTTTCACCATGTTGACCAGGATGGTCTCGATCTCAAAAAATCGTGATCCACCCGCCTCGGCCTCCCAAAGTGCTGGGATTACAGGCGTGAGCCACCGCGCCCGGCCATAACTTTTATTCTTAAAATGGTAAGCAGAAGTTACAGAACTGAGGACTGTCCAGCAAAACATTTGTTATTCTTTCATGTTTTGTTGCTTAACTTTTTACATTTCGTACAAACAGGGATAAATTCAGTGTTTTGCAGAACAGTCTATTTGCCTGAAATCATCTCATTTTCTTGACTTCAATAGATTTTACATTGCCTTAAATTTTCTCTAATTAAAAAGTGGCCCCAAAATCATTAGACTTGGTTTGAATTATATTACCTTAGGATGTGTGGGGAGAGTTGAATTTCAAAATAATTACTTTACAAATAGTAATTTTATTCAACTGCTGGAATCCTAGGAGAACGAAGGACTTATCCCGAAGAGCGAATGCCCCTGCCAGCTCCTTCACTGAGCCACCAGCCGCCTCCAGCTCCACGGGTCGAGAAGAAGCCGGAATCAAAGAATGTGGATGATATTTTGAAACCACCAGGCCGGGAGAGCAGACCTGAGAGAGTGAGTCCTGTGAAGCTGATTCATTTCCACGCAAACCAGAAGAGATCTTTTTAATATCCTGAACAGAATTTCTTTTTTTTTTTTTTTTTTTTTTTTGGGACGGAGTTTCGCTCGTTACCCAGGCTGGAGTGCAATGGCGCGATCTCGGCTCACCGCAACCTCCGCCTCCTGGGTTCAGGCAATTCTCCTGCCTCAGCTTCCTGAGTAGCTGGGATTACAGGCGCGCGCCACCATGCCCAGCTAATGTTTTGTATTTTTAGTAGAGACGGGGTTTCACCGTGTTGACCAGGATGGTCTCGATCTCTTGACCTCGTGATCCACCCGCCTCGGCCTCCCAAAGTGCTGGGATTACAGGCTTGAGCCACCGCGCCAGGCTCTGAACAGAATTTCTTTACATTTCGGCAACATAGTAATAATATCAAATTCAAGGCATTTTGCCATACCTAAATCACCATAAAATCTCATAAATGGCCTACACTATAGAATCTTTAAGAATTTAGCACTAAACTGCTTGGCAAAAAAGATGTTGAATTTTAAAACATTCATGAGGCCTCAATTAATTGCACGTTGAAGAGAGGAAAGTGGATTTGGTTTTATGGTGGTATGTGGAATAGAAAGGGAAAATTAGGAGGCTTGATTTAGGCTTAATTTCCTAGTGACCTCCAAATGTGTGCAGAGGTCCAAAAGAGGGCAGCTGTTATACCAAGTCAGTTGGATGTGGAATCTTACTCAAATTTAATTCTTTTAAATTTGTCTTATATTGCAGAATAATTAGATTGACTCCATTTGAATTAACTGATACTGGAAATTTTTTTAGATTATGGATTCAGGATACATGTGCAGGTTAACTACACAGGTATTTTATGTAATGCTGGAGTTTGGGCTTCTAATGAGACTGTCACCCAAATAGTGAACGTAGTACCTGGTAGTAAAGTTATTATTGATGTAGTTGGCTTAATTTTATTTTTGGATTATTCATTGCAAACTATGGAAATATGGCTTAATTTTGTTTATTCATCTTATGTAATACCACTGAATTCATTTATTAGTTTTAGTAGATTTTTAGTGGATTCTTAAGGTTTTCTTTGTATAAGATTATGTCATCTGCAAATAAAGTTTTACTTCTTTCTTTCTGAATTGGATGCCTTTTATTTCTTGCCTAATTGCCCTGGCTAGAACCCCCAGTGCAGTGTTGAATAGATGTGGCAAGAGTGGACATTCTTGTCTTGTTTCTGATCTTAGAGAGAAAACATACAATCTTTCACCATTAAGAATGATGTTAGCTGTGAATTTTTTGTAGATGCACTTTATTAGGTTAAGAAAGTTCTATTCCTAGTTTGTTGAATGTTTTTATCATGGGAGGATGTTGGATTTGTTGAATGCTTTTTCTGTGACAATTAGGGTGATCATGTGATTTTGGTTTTTAGTCTGTTGATATGATGTGTTACATTAGTTGATTTCATATGTTAACTTGCATTCCTAGGATAAATTCCACTTGGTCATGGTGTGTAATGATTTTTATATGTTGCTGGATTCAGCTTGCTAATATTTTGGAGGATTTTTGCATCCATATTCATAGAAAATAGTGTTGTTTTCTTGTGCTGTATTTGGTTTGGTGTAATACTGGCTTCATAAAGTAAGTTAGAAATTATTCCTTCTTGTCAGGCATGGTGGCATGTGCCTGTAGTCCCAGCTACTCAGGAGGCTGAGGTGGGAGGATCACTTGAGTCCAGGAGTTCAAGACCAGCCTGGCCACATGATGAAACCCTGTCTCTACTAAAAATACAAAATTTAGCCAGATGTGGTGGCGGGTGCCCGTAATCCCAGCTGCTTGGGAGGCTAAGGCACAAGAATTGCTCAAACCCCGGAGACAGTGGTTGTGATGAGCCAAGATTGCACCACTGCATTCCAGCCTGGGCAACAGAGTGAGACTCCATCACAAAATAATAATAATAATAATTTGTTGATCTTTTTTAAAGAACCACTGCCACTGTTGGGTTTTATTTATTTATACTCTTTTGTTTTTCTCTTTTCTATTTTATTAACTTCTTCTTTAATCTTCATTGTTTCCTTCCTCTGTTTATTTAGTTTGCTCTTTTTCCAGTGTCTTAAAGTGGAAGGTTAAGTTATTGATTTGAGACCTATCTTCTTTACTACTATAGACATTTATAGCTATCAATTTCCTTTTAAGCACTGCTTTAGTTGTATCCTGTAAGCTTTGGTGTGTTGTGTTGTTTTCATTCATCTCAGAGTATTTCCTGGTTCCTCTTGATTTCTGGTTCCTCTTGATTTCTGGTTCTTCTTTATTTCTTCTTTGATTCGTTGGTTATTTAGGAGTATATTGTTTAATTTTCACTTATTTGTGAGTTTAATTTTTCTTACTATTAATTTTCAATTTCATTCCACTGTAGTCAAATAACATACTTTGTATTATTTCTATCCTTTCAAACTTATTAAGGTTTGTTCCAATGTCTATTATATAGTCTATCCTGGAAAGTGGTAGGTCATTGTTAGCTATTATCTCATTGCAGAAAGTTTTCTCTGAGTGACTTTTTTTTTTTTTTTTTTTTGGTCTATTCTGTTTCAGATTGTTGTTATAATGAGAGGATTACCTGGCAGTGGAAAGACACATGTTGCAAAACTTATTCGAGTGAGTATGGGAAAGCTGAAAAATCAGTTGCTTGTGTTAGTAGTCACTTGCCTTTTTATTAATAGCAAGCAACAAGATACCAATAGAATTGTCTTCCATTTGATTTGTTAGAGTTGGCCCATGTGGTAGATGTTGTCCCATGTACATTTGGCTCTACTCAGAGAAACATTTTTGACTCTGCTTGATTTGAAAGCACCAGAAGACTGTATATTATTTAGCCACAAGAAGGAACTTTGGTGTGAACATTAATTTATTCCATAAATTCATTTTAACCTTCTTGACTATATGATTCTTAGGATAAGGAGGTAGAATTTGGAGGACCTGCACCCAGAGTTCTAAGCCTGGATGATTACTTCATCACTGAAGTGGAAAAAGAAGAAAAAGATCCAGATTCTGGAAAGAAAGTAAAAAAGAAGGTATGGTATTCATCTCAGATCACATTCTGATTCATTAATAGTATTTAAAGGAAATCATGTTTGGAGAGAAATGTGGCTTTTTTGAGGGCAAGGACTTCTCTGTTTTCTGAACACAAACTTTAGTACTTGGGTGTGAAGGAAAGACTAAAAGTCATCTCTGTCCAAATGCTAATCAGGGGAAAAGCTTAGGATGATTCTTTGCTTTTGCTAATTATATATCTCTTGGGACCTTAGGTAATGGAATATGAATATGAAGCTGAGATGGAGGAGACTTACCGCACCAGCATGTTCAAAACTTTCAAAAAGACTCTGGATGATGGCTTTTTCCCCTTCATAATTCTGGATGCCATCAATGACAGAGTTAGGCATTTTGACCAGTTTTGGAGTGCAGCAAAAACCAAGGGATTTGAGGTAGAAACTTAAAGAACTTTGAAGTACTTTGTGTTGTCATGTAAATGTTATATATCTTTGCCTAATTGTTATTCATTCTTGCTTAGGTATATTTGGCTGAAATGAGTGCAGATAACCAGACTTGTGGCAAGAGAAATATTCATGGAAGAAAGCTTAAAGAAATAAATAAGGTGATTTTCAGAAACATGGACTAATAAAGTACCATCATGCGTTACATAATAATGTTTTGGTCAAGGAAGGACTACATATATGGTGGTCCCATAACATTATAATAATGTATTTTTACTGTACCTTTTCTATGTTTAGATATCTTTAAATACACAAATACTTACAGTTGCCTACAGTATTATGTACGTTAACATGCTGTACAAGTTCGTAGCCTAGATGTGCAGTAGGCTTTATCATCTAGGTTTGTATAAGTATACTCTGTGATGTTCACACAATGGCAAATTGCCTAATGATCCATTTCTAATGTATGCCCATTGCTAAGTGATGTGTGACTGTACTCTAAACTTCATATTATCTGTATCAGCACTCTTGTCTGGAAGCTCCTATTTATCCCCTCCTTTTTTTTTTTTTTTTTTTTCTATTTTTCCATAATATCTTTCCTATCTGCGTTAGTAAATGTTTCTCTTCCTTTGTTTCTTTTCCTAGCTCTTCATGAAATTAGCCTGTTATGGCTGGGCGTGGTGGCTCACGCCTGTAATCCCAGTGCTTTGGGAGGCCGAGGTGGGCAGATCGCTTGAGCCTGGGAGTTTGCGATCAGCCTGGGCTACGTGGTGAAACCCTCTGTGTACAAAAAAACACAAAAATTAGCTGGGTCTTGTGGCAAGTGCCTGTGGTCCCAGCTACTGGGGAGGCTGAGGTAGGAAGATCACTTGAGCCCGCAATGTCAAGGCTGCAGTGAGCCATGTTTGCACCGCTGCACACCAGCCTGGGTGACAGAGTGAGACCCTGTCTCAAAAAAAAAAGGAAATTGGCCCGTTAGACTTTATAATATTAAATTAGTATTTAACAATTTAATTAATATTTAACAATATTTTTCAATAGATGGCCGATCACTGGGAAACTGCGCCTCGTCACATGATGCGTCTAGATATTCGTTCTTTGCTGCAAGATGCTGCTATTGAAGAGGTGAGTATCCTTTGGTTCAAATGCAATGCAAAATGACATTACTTTTTCACCTTTTTGCTTTGAAAAACTTAAAACCGATAGAAAACTTACATGAATAGTATTAATATAAGAACACCTACTGATATGCCTTTCATTGAGATCACAGCTAATATTTTGCCACATTTTTCTTTGTATGGATATATTCTTATTAACAGTCTTGTTAATGATGTCATTATTTTCGTGGAACCATTTGAGAATTAGGTTGTAGACCTCATAAACCTTCACCCTTAAATACATCAGTAGGTATCTTGTAAGAACAAGGACATTGTCTTTTGATTTTATAACTGTTATCAAATGCAGGAAATTTAATATTAATAAAATATTATATTAAGTAGTATAAATTTCCTGAATTAAATTTCTTGAATTATCTCACATATATTTTATATTCATATTTCATCAGTTGTTCCTGTCACATAGCTTATAGAAATTTTCAAAAATCCAAGATTCAATCCTTTAATACAAAATATAGTTTCTCAGCCTTGTCATTATCATGAAAAATGAAGAATTTATGAAGAGTTTAGGCCTGTTATGTAGAATGCCCCTCCATTTGGATTTGTCTGTTTGTTTCCATGTGCTTAGGTTCAGGTTAAACATCAGCAGGAATGCTATGTAAGTGATACTGTGCCCTCCGTGCATCACACCAGGAGCCATATGGTGTCAATTTATCTCATTATTGGTGGTTTAAACACTGATTACTTGGTTAAGGTGTTATCTAACAAATTTTTCTATGTTTTTCTTTTTAATAAGTAATCTGTAGAGAGAGACTCTTAATATCTGTTCCCCAACAGATTTTCATTCATTGGTAGTTCTTGCCTGAATCAATTATTAATGTGATGGAAAGAGAAATTTTCTATTTTTGCCAGTTTTGTGTTTCTATTTTGTTTGACCTCTTCCATTGAGTGAGTTTATTGCCAATATTGTCATTTGCCTTTTTTTTACTTTTTTTTTTGGAGACGGAATCTCCCTCTGTCGCCAGGATGGAGTGCAGTAGTGCAATCTTGGCTCACTGCAACCTCTGCCTCCTGGGTTCAAGTGATTCTCATGCCTCAGCCCCCTGAGTAGCTGGAATTACAGCCATGTGCCACCGCACCTGGCTTAAATTTTATATTCTTATGTTTTATATCTTTAGTAGAGTTTCATGATGTTGGCCAGACTAGTCTTGAACTCCTGGCCTCAAGTGATCTGCCCATCTAGATCTCCAAAAATGCTGGGATTAGACGTGAGCCGGGGTGCCCAGCCGTGCTTTTATGTGTTTTTAACTCCCATGCCACTCCTCAACCTATTTCATTCTGGCTTCTGCCACTATCGTTGTCTGGCAGCCTTCTCACTAATTATCTCCATGACAGTGGACAGTTCTTATTTCTCTTATTGTTTAATTTTGCAGCCAACATAGTTGACTATGCCCACCTTCTTAAAAAACATACTTTACTCTTGGCTTTTGTGAATTCACATTCTTCTGGTTTTCTTTTTACTTTTTTGGTTATCTCTTTTCAGTCTCCTTTGCTGACTTCTCCTGCTACCCATTCTTTAGGGCTCTATCCTAGCCTCTGTTTTTATTTTGTACCCTCTGTATAGATCATCTGAATCTTTCTAGGAGCTTGGATTGTCACTTATGTGCCATATAATGTTATAAAGTCTAGACTGGGTTATATTACTATCTTGACAGTAATGTTTCTGAATGGAGGGAGTATAGGTGATTTTTATAATCTTCTTCTATTATTTTCCAAATTCTCTACAAAAAATATATATTATCTTAGTATACGTCAAACTCAACCAATCCAAAATGTAGTTCATCCAAACCTGTTTCTCATTTAGTAGTCTCTGTTTTAGTAATTAGAACCCTAACCACTTGATTGCTGAAACCAGCACTCTGGGAGTTATTCCTGACTCTTTTGTCATTGTTGTTGAGACAGAGTCTGACTCTGTTGCCTAGGCTGGAGTGTGGTAGCATGATCATAGCTCATTGCTGCCTCAACTCCTGGGTTCAAATGATCCTCTCACCTCAGCCTCCTGAGTAGCTGAGACTACAGGCATATGCCACTGTGCCCAGCTAATTTTTTATTTTTATTTTTTAGAGATGGGGGTCTCACTAAGTTGCCCAGACTGGTCCAGAACTCCTAGACTCAAGCGATCCTCCTGCCTCAGCCTCCCAAAGTGCTGGGATTACAGGTGTGAGCCACCGTGCCCAGGCCTGACTCTTTTTTTTTTTTGAGACAAAGTCTTACTCTGTTGCCCAGGCTGGAATACAGTGGTATGATCTCGGCTCACTGCAACCTCTGCCTCCCGGGTTCAAGCGATTCTCCTGTCTCAGCCTCTCAAGTAGCTGGGATTACAGGTGCCCACCACCATGCCTGCCTAATTTTTGTATTTTTAGTAGAGACAGGATTTCATCATGTTGGACAGGCTGGTCTCGAACTCCTGACCTTGTGATCCACCTGCCTTGTCCTCCCAATGTACTTTGATTACAAGCGTGAGCCACTGCACCTGGCCCCGACTTTTTACTCTGCCTTTATGCCAGTGTTCAAACCTGTCATGTAGTCAAGCAAGTTTAGTCAGTTTAACCTTTTAATGGCCTCTGTAACTCATCTGCTCATCTCATCTTGCTACCACTCTGGGCCACCCAATATCATTCCAATATCATCCTACTTTTCACTATACTTTTTCTTATGTTTTGAAATTTGAATCATTGACATGTTTTACCTGATTGGAAAAATGCTTGTTAAAGAATTTTAAAAGAAATTCTAGTAATCCATGGGCATTCAAAATAGGTAACTGTCTACTTAGCACTTATACTTAATTTTACAGGAAATTATGCAGATGGATATTCAAGGAAAATTAAAGGCAATAATATCCTGTCTTTTATCAGTTCTGTTTCAAAATTTAAGGTGTTAAAAATTACTTGGTATGTAACAGTGAGCCTGTCTTGCTTTGGGCAACTGTGTTCATTCCAGATCTCAAAGAGGGAGTCAACATTTTCCTATATGTTAACCCAGTTTTTTTTTTTTAAATGGTTGGTGTAGGTTGAGATGGAAGATTTTGATGCAAACATTGAAGAACAGAAAGAAGAAAAGAAAGATGCAGAGGAAGAGGAAAGCGAACTGGTAGGAGACAGACCAACCACTTTGAACAGTGTCTCTTTATTAAAATTCTTAAAGAAGGTTTAAATTCAGATCTGTGGTCAGACAACTACTGTTGAAAATACACTTTAATGGTAAAAGTTTCCAAAATCATCTTCAAGGAGACTTTTGGATACTCTTTATTTTTCCCCACACCAAAAGAATCCTCTACTGTGGTGTTAAAAGAAAGTTTTAACAGAGTGCTAAGAAACTTACTCTTGTACTCATCTATTTGTGGGTGGTTTTAGGGGAGTATACCTTTAAGAAAATCAGTTACATATGAAAGGGCATTCTTACATTCCAGCAGATATGTGGCCCAGCCTACCCAACATATGCATAATTGTCTCTTCTTTGCTACAAGATCTCCAAATTGAGTTTCTATCATCTGAGGCAGAAGAACTTATTGAATGGGGAGGCAGAGGGTTGCCATTGGCTACTAGATTTGTTCTTCTGCATTTTATCCTAACTGATGGGAAAAAATTAAATGACTGTTTAGGCAATGGATTTTACTTAGGTGGATTAGACGCTTACATAGTGTGAGTTCAAAGTTTCTGTGTACCTAATGTAAAATGCTTTCGATCACACCTCTGTAGAGATGTTTGCCTTTCCCTGTCATTCAAGAATATGCGACCTATAGAGTTACCTTGACTTTTCAGTGTTTGCTGATGAAGTACAGAGATTAGCAATGCCTTGGAATAGTGTTGCTTTTTAAATCCAGAATATTACTTGGTTTATTTAATACTTGAGCCCTTGCTAAAGTTGCTTCTCATATTCTTTTGAAAATGTACAAAGTGAGAACTCGGATACCTACCCCCTAGAGTACACAGACTCTCCAGGTAGTGGTCCCATCTAACCCATGTGTGATATAGAGGACTCTTGATAAAAACTGTGTTTTTATAAAGATGGTGTCAACCTCTACATTCCAAGATTTCAAATGTGGATTAAAAAATAAGTTTAAAGTTAATGGCATTTGAGTCTCAGTATGTGTTTTTTTAAATCTATTTTTCTTAATTAAGTTGTATTTTGGCATATATAATTTAAAATGTAGGCAGGAAATTCATTAAAAGGTCCACGCTCTTCTGGAATATGGCTAATGACTTCTTTAGCCATTTGCAGCGTGTGTACTAGAAACTGATCATGTGAGAAGTCTATAATGTTTTAGCTTTCTGAAGCTCCGTCTTTCTTTTGTGGAGATTTCAGTTCAAGATACGGTTCATAACGTCTGACTTGTGTAGGTGTAGATCAAAACTTGAGAACTTTTAATTAAATGTACTATTACTTTTTAAAGTGAAACACACTATAATACTATATTTTTGCATCAGTGGCATGGCAAGGAAGCCTTAGAATTCTACCCTGCTGGATTATCTGTTTTATTTCCAAGTGGCATACAATTTCAAGCAATGGAAGGATAATATAGTTTAAAGGAAGCAAAGGATGGTTCCAGCAGGGGGAAATGAATACACTTGTTTGCCTAACCTGGTTATAAAACTTCTCTTAACCTATTCAAAGATACAGAATTGAAAAAAATCTTTTACTATTGGAGTCTATTTCAAGAGTAAAAGATTTTTGGAGAATATGTTAACCAAGGGTAAGAGCAAGTTTCATACCAACCACTCAGACCATTTAAATGGAATTCTCAGTAAACCTTGCATTTTCCACTCTGCACTAATTAATATTACTGGGTGAAATCCAAACTTTTGTTGGTAAAGAGAATCCTTTTTAGGGGATCATTGGTATGATAGTTTGCCGCCTTTAATGCTTCAGTGAACCTAGTAGATAAAATTTATACATATGTTATTCCTGTGATGCTTAAAGTTTTCAGATGATTTTTGAAATATAACTTGTATAAGTATTCCCAGTACTTTCAGCACTATCACTTCAGCATAGCTTTGTCTTGGTTTGTTCTTAAAAAATGTATTTGGAAAATATTTAATTTATCACCCAAAATACTACCTAGTAAGTAAGTTGAAAATGAATTATTAGTTCTGGCTTACAGACTAGTAAACTCTTACACAGAAGCTGTTGTCATGAAGTCTTCAAAATGCTTTGCGACTTACTTTACCTGTGTGTCAGTCTGTTTCATGAACTTGAACATTCCCAACAGTAGAGAGATAGATTGATTCATAAAAGAAGATTCTGACACTTGATGAATCTGTCCTATTTACTAGTTTCCAATATTAATGTTTCTGTATGTTAGGTCTAATAGACAACAGAGTCTAAATGAAGGTAAAGGGGAATCACATGGTCAGAGTATCTACTTGCTAGGTGAATAAATAGAAATGACTACTGCATAGCTCAATAGGCACATTGGGAAATTTGAAAATCTTTTGGGAGTGAGTTTGAAATAAGCCACCTAGTTATTTTATGAAATATAGGATGTAAATTGCCAGTGGAGATTTCTGGTTTTTCATGTAATAAGAAAACATAATTTCAAAAAACATCAGAAATAATAATCTAGTTTTCAACTGATAAAATAAAAATGTTCTGAAATTGATTCAGTAAAATTAGCCTTTGTATGCTCTAACTGATAAATGAATTGAGTCATTTTAAAATGAAGTTGAACTTCATAATCGGGTAATCGGGTTAAGTGCTACCAATTCTTTCCCTTTCTTTTGAGTACTTAAAATTACTGAAATATAAAGTAACTATCTTGAAGAACACTTTTTGGACCTTACGGCTACTATCACTTGAGAATAGCAGTTGTATTTAAAAGATAACCTAGCTAGTATTACAAATTCTCTGTTACTCTGAATAATATTAATATTAGCACAGTAACTACCTGTACGTTCTTATCGTATTTGCTACACAGCTGTTGTTCAGACTGCAATTATGATTCCTGAACTGTAGCTGCCTCAAAGCGCCTTCATGATACTATTCTAAAGTGACTGCTCTGAAATGTGGACAGTGAAGTTTGGTGAATTTGGTCATTTAGTTTCTTCAAAGATAATGAGATTGTGTTTCCCCTAAGGATATATTTACAGCTAGTCAGTGGAAACTGAATCCATTCCCAGTTTTAATGCTTTTCCAGTTCAAAAGTGATATGCATGTATGTGTCTCTTTCTAACCCTTCGAGCTTCTCTCTGTGTACGATTTAGGGTTACATTCCGAAAAGCAAATGGGAGATGGACACATCTGAGGCAAAGCTAGGTGGGTATTTCCTTTTTCCTGTTTTTATATGTGATACCTGATGGTAATGATCATAGATCTTTCTGCTATAAGAGGAACAAATTTCCTAAAACTTCTACTTGAACAAAAGATTCCTGGCCTACCTTAGATCCTCCAATCTATTTTGCTAGCTTTTGGTTTGACTAGTTATATCTTGGGACAAAGTGATAAGTACTTTAAAAGAACTGCTTTCAATACTATTTAAAGTTTTTAGAGTCAACCAGAAATATTATTTGATAATTTAGCAACAAAATATTGTTATTTATAAAATCTATTCTTTTATATTAATCAGAAATGTTGGTGCTGATGAGGTTTCTTTTTTAAAAGAATAAGTGCAGTCCGAAGTTAAACCTGATTATGAAAACTTCAGATGATAATAATGTAACGTTTAAAATTAATTAAAAGGCATTTATTCTCCTTGTATAATAAAAGAGAGTCTCTAAGTAGAGAGAAGTAGATATATAATTCAGGTTTTTGAGGAGCCTACTTTATAAGATTTAGTTTAAATTTTTCTTCAAGTCATTAATGCCAGATTCCAAGGTAAACCAGTTTAAATGATTGTCTAAATCAGAATTTGGAGTTGCTTAATGTGAAGTTATCTGTCAAACAAAAAAGTCATACATGTCCAATGGATTCCCTCTAGTTAATTTGTTGGTGAAGACTGCAGAATATTTTTTCAGTTTTGCTTTGCTTAAAGAGAACAATTTAACATGTTGATTAAGATGTATTAATAAAAATTAAAACAATGTGCTAAAGACTTTTTGAGATCAGCCTTACTATGAAGTATGACTATGGGTTTTTGTTTCTTTTCCTGGTATTATACTCCAAAACTAAAGAAACCAGTGAAGTATCTTAAATTGATACAAGAAATATGAGTCATTTAGCTGCCTCATTGCTTAGGACATGTGTTTCTGACATCAGAGTAGTGCATTTTACGTGCAGTTACATAAGTTATGCCTTTAATTTGCCCCAACTATTTGTGTTAGCAGTTGGTGTTGACCAGGTCCTGTGTTAAAAGACAGTTAGTTCCACAAACTGTATTATTACATTACTGGTATGGGTGCTTTTTGTCAAAGTCTAAAAAGAATTTTTTTTAGTGTGTGTCATGTGAAAATAAGAAGTGGTTTTTGACATATTCTAGTAGTTGTCCCTCTGTGGGAAATCTTAATAATAACCAATTGTCATCTTCCAGAGACCCTTAAAGCACTTACATGTTTAAATGCAATTAAATATGGGGGAAAATAAAAATTGGAAAATACTTTTAAAATAATAATAATGCTTTAGTTCTGCTTATTTCGACATTAGATTAACTCTCTGTGAAGTTCTGTACATTAGACTAACCCATAATATGCTAAGATCACTTCTCTCTTCTTGTTCTCTACATATTATCTTTTGGGGCAAAGAGAGATCATAAAGATAGGTAAGATGAATGTAAAAGTGATAAATATTAGCTAAACATGTAATCTTCAGAGGCCTCATTTAACACATAATCTGGGTAATGCTGTTTTAAACTCAATCTAGTCCATCTTTTACCTCTCTTTCTGTTTCTAAAAGGAAAAGGGAATTTAGTTGTGATGATTATTCAAGAATACATATTAATACTGGAATTTCTGGAAAAAGTTCTGGCCCATCTACCATTTGCTTCTCAGAAAGTACATTTTATACAAACTGTTTTAGAGACAGAATAGTAGACAATGAATTCCAGAAATGGATTTTTAAAATAAACCATTTCAATAAAAGGCACTGAAGATCTGACAATAAATCTAGAAAATAAATTTTAACGTATTTGCAGTTGGGTTTTTATTTATTTTTAACAAGAGTGACAGTGATGTCGTATATAAGGACTTGTATCTTGCACCACTGTATTGAGAGCTAATCCCGCCACAGAGGAAGGCTATTTGAGTGTGCATTCTTGAAAGTGCTTACTACTTTGATGCTGGTCCATTGAGCCAACTGAGAAGATTCTTCTCTAAAACATGAGGATCTTGTATTTGAGAATTAGCCTGTTTATGTTGCCTTCCTTATCGTAACAAATTTAATATAATTTGATTACCATGTACAATTTAATTTTCTTAGTACTTTACCAATATTCTTCAGTTACACTTGGGGAATGATTATACTGGGTGGAAATGTATTAAGTTTTAGCAGTGTCACATGTTGAGCGAAAACAGTTGACTCTGAAACAGAGGAATTTTGATTCACAAATGAGTCTGCCAGTGAGAACATTCTTACCTATAGTCTTTCAAGCAGCTGGTTTGATCTTACTGCAGATTCTTGATCTGTGCCCATTAAATAGAGTATACCGTTCAGCCTGTGCCTGAATGTTAAATTGGAAGTGTTGTGATTTAGAACAGTTCAGAGCAGGCCCAAGCTACCCCTGGCATGGAGTTGGACATGGCTGCCTGTGGCCCACCTTCAGTCCCACCGGACTGGTTCTTCTCTGCTGGGACACAGGCACCCTAATGTAAGGGTGGGTTGTTACTTGCCACATCAGGTGCTAGGATTCAGCATTGAAGCTACTTAAACTCCAGTGACATGCTTTTAGTTTGTCATACTGTGAAGCTAGAATGTTTGAGACTTATCATCCTAATTTAGGTTTCTTCATATAAAGCACTTTTGCTTTTCTCATCTCAGTGTCATTTGTCTCTACTCATGAGTTGTTTATTGGTTTTCTACATGTCAGATTCATCTCTTCAGAGTTGGAATATAATTATTATTTGTATAGGTGCATAACCTTGTATGTTTACTTTGAACAGATTTTCAGAAATACCATTTACATTTAGAAAATACATAGCTGTATCTAAGGAATTTTTCTGTTGTGCTATAATACGTACTGTTTCAAATATGTGGTAAAATTCTGTGATCTACCAAGTTGGATTTAAAACTTCATCTTCATCTTAAAACTTCATCTTTTGAAATCTCTGAAAATCATTAGTGTGCGTGTATCGAACACCAGTCTTTCTTCTGTAATGAACACCCCAGATTTCTCTCCCCTCACCTTATACCATCCATTTGTGTGTTTGGTTTCCAGTATGCCATGTGGAAGAGGTGTGAGCCTTTCTTCGGCCCAAGAAGGAAACTTTAAACATGTTTGCACAATAAAATTTCAAATTAAACATTCAACAAGGGTGCTCAGACTAGAAATACATGCTCTTCTGAAATTCCATGTTTGCAACTGTAATTCCTGTCATATTTACCCAGTGTATAAGGCGAAGTTCTTGCAGTTTTCACACTGTGCTTCTGTATTGCTGCCTGGCTGTGCTCTGTGGTTGGAATTGAAATAATGAAATTTTTACTTTGAAGTATGTTAATGTCAAAGTTATCGTATTAAGTTTGGAAATCCTTTGAGGTTTATTTAATAAGTGTGTTGGAGCTTCTTTCTCTTCTGGTAATACTGTACACTGTTGAACTGAGAACAGTTTTATTGTTTGTGGGACTTCGTTGGTTTTCAAATACCATAACCTGTGTCCCTGTGCAGTCAAGGGGTCACTTCTTTGAGATCATGTATAATATGGCCCGTACTTATACATGTAGATAGAGCCATTTGGTACAGCATGTGATTCCAGAGATTAGAAGACTGGATCTGTCAAATCCATACATGTTAAAATTTTGCCAAAATGAGATGATTAAAATTTTTGTGAGTTTTATAAACTGTTGCAGTTTGCCTTACTGATTTTTCAATGATAATCACTTTTATGGGAATGGGGCTTAGGAACAAAAAACTTTGCCAAAAATGCAAGATCTTACTGGTTTTTAAAGCTTGTAACAGTCAGTCGTGTGTAAAACTTTTATATTTTAAACATAAACTCACCCTCTCTGCTGCTGCTTTCATTGCACTTTTCATACAAAGTTCTCTCCAACGTGGTCTCTAAAAGATTTTTATTATATACACTCTGCACCCTTTATAGAATTCAGTGAAGTGTGGTTATGCTGTGTTTCTGAGGTTTTAGTCTTTTCCTCTTTGGCCTGCCTAATATTAGTGTGTTTATATAACTTCAGATGATTCAAAACTTCAGTACTTCATTGTAGCAAAGAATGTATATAGCTCATAATATCCTACATGTAGTATTCAAAATCAATTATTAATAACCAATAAAAGACTCAACACATTTTCATTGCGTGTTCTTCTTTAAGACACCTAAACTCATAATTTCTGAATCTGTAGTCCCTATTCGTTAATTGATTACAGTTTTTGAATTGTTGGAAAGCCTAGCCCTCTCAGGTTCAGTCTTCAGAAAGAATTATCAGGTCTGGTAAAACAGGCTCACTAGCCCTTAGCCTCAGAGATGGTCAACAGCACTTCATAGTATAACCAAAGAAAGTGGTGATCTCATATAGTCAGCTTATTCATGAACATTAATTCATGGTGAATGCGCTCACAGCAACCAAAATCCCCAAAAAACTGTTCATTTAAAACCTTAAACGTGGGCTTGGCTCATTAAGTTCTTGGTACTTCCTGCTTTTCATATGACAAAGTATCAAACATGATTGCAGATCAAATGGGTGGTGTTAATATTGTGTTAAAGAAAAAAAAGAATGGAAGACACTGTCTAGAAAAGCCCAACTTTGCATTTGCCATCAGAACATGAGAGCTGTGGTGGGTGGGAGGACAAGGAGGCCAGGAGCCAAGTGCCTTTTCTTGCCTTGCCCATATTTGCTACTTAAACCAACATCATAAACATAAAGGCTACCAGTGTGAATACTAAACAATGGAAATTGCACAGAACTTGATATTATATCAGCCAAGAAGATATAGTTTGGATCTGCAAGTGATGCTGCACTCAGAAATGTGGATATGCCCTCTGAAAGTGTTCCAGCCTTCTTTTCCCCTGTGTGTGTGTGGTGTGCAAACTCACACTCTTCCTTAATGCTGCGGCTCTGTGTTTGTCCCTCAGACAAGTTGGATGGCTTGAGGACTGGTACTAAAAGGAAACGTGACTGGGAGGCCATTGCCAGCAGAATGGAGGATTATCTTCAGCTCCCCGATGATTATGATACTCGTGCTTCTGAGCCTGGGAAGAAGAGGGTAAGAGACTTTGTCTTTAACTGCCAACAAATGAAGGGCCTATTTAGGCATCTGGTTTTAGAAATCCATAGGCAGATAATTAGATGAATGCTATTTTTAGAATGATTTAGTTTATGCTGTGTCATGTTACATATCCAAGCAAGGAGTCAGACCTTATAAATTATAATGTGTATAATTATACAAGTAACTTAAATGGAGAACAGAACCTCACATGGCTAGCATGTAACCCTAAAGGCATTGGGAGTCACCAGTCACTTGTGTCATTTTGTCATGGGGCAAAAGAGCCAGGTACAGAGTAGGACATTGAAGAGAATCGGTGGAACTTCTTAATGGATGGGATATGGAGGATCCAAAGGTAGATAGAATCAAGGGTAACCCATTGGTACACTGGCCATGAGCACTCCATGTATGTGGTGCCATTTACTAAGAGAGAAAACTGGGGGAGTCATAAATCATAATTTTTGGAAGTGAGAGAAATAATTTAAGTTCTGTGAGAGAAATTCTAATTTTTCTTCTAATTAAGTTAGAAGTATAAGTGAAAATGTCAGATTGACTTGGATTTACTAGTATAAAAATCACCAGAGAGATCAGACTGAACTAACAAATTTCAGGAAATGTTATTTAAAACCATGGGACTGAATGATTTTTTCCCAAGGAAAAAGTATAAATGGAAAAGATAATAGGATGCCGGACTCAGAAATTTAGTTCAGATAGCGGTGTTTCAAGAAGAAAAGAGCAGTCAGTTTTTAAATGATGCAGAAAAGACCAGTAAGTTGGGAACAGAGAAATGGCTGCCAGATGTGGCAATGTGGAGGTCACTGATGATTGTAGTGTGTCATCAATTTACAGTGATGAGGGGTGGAAACCAGTTTGGAGCAGATTGAAGAATAAATAAGAATTGATGAATGAAGTGTACAGTATAGCATATGTAGGCAACTTTTTGAAGTTTTGGTATGAAAGGGAATAGAGAAATGAAGCTAGGACATTAGATAGGTCTTCCGTATAAATGTTGAATTCAATAAAAATGATAGATATGTATATCCTTTAAAACAAAATAAAGCAAAGGGATCGAATTGTGTATATACTGTTCTGTACAAGCCTTTTTTAGCTAATCCATCTTGATCTTTCAATATAAACGTATACAGACCTACTCTTCTTTTTAAAGGGCTACTTGGTGTGCCATTGTTTGGCTGCACAATCAGTTATTTAACTAGTCCCTTTGTGTTAATCCCTTTGTGTTGCTATAAAGGAATACTCGAGACTGGGTAATTCATAAAGAAAAAAGATATATTTTGGCTCAGTGTTCTGCAGGCTGTACAAGAAGCATGGTTCTAGCATCTGCTTCTGGTAAGGCCTCAGGAAGTCTTCAATTATGGTGGAAGTACAAAGTGGGTGCCAGTGCGTGACATGGCAAGAGAGGAAACAAGGGAGGGAGTCCCAACTTTTTAACAACCAGATCTCACATGAATTTGAGACATTCATGAGGGATCCTCCTCCATGACCCAGACACCTCCAGCATCAGGGGTTACAGTTCAACGTGAGATTTGAAGGGGACAAACATCCAAACCATAATATCTTTATTGATGGATGCTTACACTGTTTCCATTTTATTGCCAATACAGACAGTGAAGGTTGTGGTATGTATGTCTCTCTTTACATACCTATATGCAAGTAATTGCCTGTTTTTCTACACTTCGATTAGCGATGCTATTATCAAACTCTTTAACTTTTGACAACCTGATAGGTAAAAAAAATAGTATCTTGTTTTTCAGTTATTTAAGAATGAAGTTGTACATCATTTGTATTTATGCATCATTTCTTTGTATTTCTTTCTTTCTATTTATTTTTTTGAGATGGAGCCTCACTCTGTTGCCCAGGCTGGAGTGCAGTGGTGTGGTCTCAGCTCACTACAACCTCCACCTCCTGGGTTCAAGCAATTCTCCTGCCTCAGCCTCTTGAGTAACTGGGATTACAGGTGCCCACCACCAAGCCCAGCTAATTTTTTTGTATTTTTAGTAAAGACGACGTTTCACCATGTTGGCCAGGTTGGTCTTGAACTCCTGACCTCATGATCCACCCACCTCAACCTCCCAAAGTGCTGGAATTACAGGCATGAGCCACTGTGCCTGGCCTTGTATTTCTTTCTTAATGAATTTTCTCAGTGCCTTAGAGTTAAAAGAATATTTTATTCTAAGAGAATAAAAATGCCAATAAAACTTAATTTCAGTGGGCACCATTACAAATAATCCAGGTTTCAAAGCTCTTTGAAATACTGCAGATACTCCAAAGTCTGCCCTTGTCTGTGTAGCTTCAGGTGATGGGAAAGGGAGAGCCGACTGCCATTTGCACCCAGCCACACCAAAGGACTACTTGTATTGATAACTGTTACTCCAGTTTTAAGGCTGAAGCCAACAGAAGTAGAAGTGGGCCTTCCTTGCAAATAACAAAGTGTAGTTCTGGTAACAATTAATTATGTAAAATGAGAAATATTTTCTCTGTTTTACTCAGGTCATTCTCACTGTCTTCACTAAGGAGTGTGTAATCCCATGCAGTTTACTTTGTTAAGTTGGGTGACCAAAGAGAACTGAGTGGTACACATTCTAGTTCTTAAAGTTGCTCATCTTTAACTCTCTTCCCCTGCCTTATACCTTGACTTCAGATAGCTTTTAACTCTTGAACCACTCACCAAAATCAACATCAGACCACAAGGAGATCCTACAGGTAGCAAAGAATACAGAATGCTGTACATTACTCATTCCTTTTCTGGGGTTTGTTTCTATGATTCAGCTTTTTACAGATACCAAGTGGGTTCTTGGGATTCACTTTCTCTAAAACAAAAAGGTGGTTCTGTAGAGTTGATTATATTAGAATTTTGCCCAAATGGCTAGGCTTTAAAATATAATTTATTTTTAAAATGTTTGTTTGCTTGGGTATAAAATGGTAGCTTACTTGGTCTTTAATTTGTATTTTTTTTGATGACTATGGAATGTGAACATTTCCCTTGTTTGCTGAATTTGTATGTTAGAAATATTTATAGTGACAGTGGATGAAATATAAGTACCTCAGACTTCTGAGTACTAGTCAGGATTTTTCTGTATTATAACAATTTTATTTTTACAGGAAAAAACAACAGGAATAATGTTGTTAAGTCTCAAAAGTACCTCTAGGAAAATTAAAAGGGACACTGATATTCAAGAAGCCATTTCAAGCTGAAAGTCATTATTCTGCTCTTTATATTTTTAGTGATTTGGTAATCATTTATTCATTCCATAATATTGAATGTCTTTGTATGAGGTCTGTGAATGAGTCCTCTTAAAGAGTTGACATTCAGCGGAGGAATTCAACATGTAAATAAATAATTTTACTATAGCATCAGTATAAATTAGAGATATTAATAAAATACAATAGTTTCCAAAATATTTTAATTCCAACTTCATTTTTTTGTTTGTTTGTTGTTTTTTGAGACAGAGTCTCACTCTGTCGCCCAGGCTGGAGTACAGTGGCGGGATTTCAGTTCACTGCAACCTCCACTTTGCAGTTTCAGGACATTCGCATGCCTCAGCCTCCTGAGTAGCTGGGATTACAGGCACCTACCACCACATCCAGCTAATTTTGTTTGTATTTTTAGTAAAGACTATTTTTGCCATGTTGGCCAGGCTGGTCTCCAACTCCTGACCTCAGGTGATCCACCCGCCTCAGCCTCCCAAAGTGCTGGGATGACAGGCATGAGCCACTGTGCCCGGACTAATTCCAACTTTTAAATCTTCGGCATTTATTCACAAACATACTACTCATTTCAAAAATAACTACACACTTTTTCTATTTTATCTGAGTTTTAAAACTGAGAATTTAAAATGTAGATTTAAAAGTAGCAAGGTGAGATTGATCAGTATATTAAACTGTCCTGTGGCTGCCCTGGGAATGGATTTAAATTTGCTGTGGGCCGGTTACTTTTTCTTTGCTCAGTGGGCCTTACCACATAAGGGGCAGACTGTGGCCACTGAATTAAAGAAAAAGTAAGCAGCCCACAGCAAATTTAAATCCATTCCCAGGACACCCTCAGCACAGTAGTGTGTTTTCACATAAATGCCCAAGACAGTCCACAGTGATCTTTTGCTAAAATGTGTATCCTTGATCCAAAGTGGAGCTGAGAGTATATATGAATTTTATTTATTTATTTTTGAGGTAAGGTCTCTCTCGCCAGGCTGCAGTGCAGTGGTGCGATCTCAGCTCACTGCCTCTTCTGCCTCCCAGGCTCAAGCATTTCTCCCACCCTCAGCCTCCCTCGTCGCTGGGACTACAGGCGCCCACCACCATGCCCGGCTCATTTTTGTATTTTTAGTAGAAACATGGTTTTGCCATGTTGCCCAGGCTGGTCTCGAACACCTGGGCTAAAGTGATCCACTGTCCTCGGCCTCCCAAAGTGCTATGATTACAGGTGTGAGCCACTGTGCCTGGCTGTATATATGAATTAATCAAAATAAGTACTTCAGCATTGATGGATAGAATGCCCAAAGATTTTTGTATATTGAAGCCCACGTTATTTATTAGGCGTCTTACTAAGGCCCATGAAAGACATTGAGCAATAGGTTTTCTATACACTAGAAATCTACTTTCTAAAAAGTCAGGTGTTACCAGTTTCCTCCCACTGCTATTACTGTGGCTCCTCCCTTTGACCAGGTGGTTAGTATTAGGAGAAGCCTAGTCATTTCATTGCCAGTCATGCAAATAGTAATTAGTGTACATTAGAGCAATAATGCATTTCCAGGTCCAGGGTAAAGAGCGTGGTGTTTCCATGCTCTGGTTCCCTCTCTGTGTCACAAATAATAAATCACAAGCCATATTTAAAATACATTCTCTGCAGACTTTGGTACTATGTAGTGTAAGCAACAGATTCATAGTTTCTTTTTAAGAATCTGAACTTTTACCAGGTGTGGTGGCTCACTCTTGTAATCCCAGCACTTTGGGAGGCAAAGGCGGGTGGATCACCTAACATCAGGAGTTCGAGACCAACTTGACCAATATAGTGAAACCTCATCTCTACATAAAATACAAAAATTAGCCAGGCGTGGTGGCACACGCCTGTAGTCCCAGCCACTCGGGAGGCTGAGACAGGAGAATTGTTTGAACCTGGGAGGCGGAGGTTGCAGTAAGCTGAGATCGCATCACTGTACTCCAGCCTGGGCGACGGAGTGAAATTCTGTCTACAAAAAAAAAAAAAAAAAAAAAAAAAAGAATCTGAACTTGTACAGAATATATTTATCTCCATATACTTTTAAAAACATATTAACATAATATGTGGCTGGGCATGGTGGCTCATGCTTGTAATTCCAGCACTTTGGGAGGCCAAGGTGGGAGGATCACTTGAGCCCAGCAGTTTGAGACCAGCCTGAGCAACATAGTGAGACCCTGACTCTAAAAGAAAAAATTATAAAAATTTTTAAAAACCACAATATGTAAGAACTTACATATTTTAAAAATCAGAGTACCAATAGAAAGTATCCCTGATCCATATATTTGTAGTTGTAATCTTGCCATAAATGATATCAGTTGAGTCTGTTTCTTGGTCTCTTCATCTCATGAATGAAAGTAGTAATACCAGCTTACTATTTTCTCTAAGGTTAAATTTCAAGAAATATTTTTTGTGTAGAGATAAATAAAATTCAGTCTTTGATCTAGGCTGTCGATAGTCTATCGGGGAAGACAGATCTGTAAATGGATAATTACACTACAGCGTGGAAGTTCAGAAGCAGACTCCCCACAGTTACGTGGGAAGCAGTGATTTATTCAATTGGCAAAGGAACAAGGAGTAAGTCAGGGAAGGATGACTAGACTTATGCCAGGTGGATAAGGTTAGGGAAGAGACATTTCAGGAAGAGTGACTGTACTTACATGCAAAGTTACAGAGACATGAAATGGTGCAATATGCTCCAAGTACTAGAAGGAAGTCTGTATCATTTGTATAAAATGCCATAGGTACTGGCCAGAGATGTTGCAGGAAAGTAGGAGGGGTCAGATCAAGAGGGACCTGAGTTCTTGGACTTTACCTGGTAGGTAGGGGAAGGATTTAGAGCAAATGAGAGTCACAACTGTGTGTTTTAGGAAGATCTGGAGGGGCTGAGTACAGACAGGAAGACTAGTTAGAGATGAGCGCTTTGCTTCAGGTGAAAAAAGAAATGAGGTCAGTGAATTATTAAATAAAAGGGAATGGCAGAGGAGAAGGAGAGGACAGGATTGAGCTGATTTGTTCAGGAGCTGGAATGGTTAAGACTTAGATTGACCAGACTCTGTGACTTAAAATAATGGCTTTTCCCAGTTTTTCTGGGTTGATTCTTAATTTTTTAAACTTGTGATTTCAAATGAGTCATTCTACACCTTAGACTGTCCAGAGAGGGAAGGGGTTCTTTGAATATTTATTTTTCCTTAAGCTCAGCCTAATGCTATGTTCTTTTTAGGTCAGATGGGCAGACCTGGAAGAAAAGAAGGATGCAGATAGGAAAAGGGCCATAGGTTTTGTGGTCGGACAGACTGATTGGGAGAAGATCACAGATGAAAGTGGTCACCTGGCTGAAAAAGCCCTCAATCGAACCAAATATATATGAGACTTAGTTTTTGAACGGAGTCATTATTCCTCTAAGGTAAGAGTACACAGTCATATAAATAGCCTACTGTGTGGTTGCTTCAAAGGGTTTGAGATAAAGAAGACAGCATGCTTTGCTAAAAGTGCTCTCTTCTTGTGTTATTTTATAGTTTTAAAAGAGTAAGTATGTGCTAGTTGTTAACATTTACAATACTATTAGAAAAGGAAGCCATTTCCTGCAGCCTGGCTCACTTACAAAAATAAAAACCTTGAGAAAAACTTGAATTCTATAGATTTGAGAAGGAATGAAATGATATTCTACTAAGGGCTACTGAACTTTTTGTATGTTCTTCCCAGGTGTGACAGCCTTTTCTTTTCTTTTCAGGTGGTTCGCATTGAGGTGATCTGAAGCCAAGGCCTCACGGAGCTTCTTTGTGTGTCACCTTGCTTCCACGTTTCCATTTTTGTTTTGTTTCTACTGCTTTAGTTTTTTAGAGTCCTCCAGTGTCCCCAAGAGGTATTAGAATCTTGCTATACCCAAGCAAGACGAATTTTTCTTTTATCTGTTTTGGGGAGGGAGGGAGTGATAGCTTAACTGCTGAAGCCAGGTGGGGGTCCGCTGGAGGATTCCAACAGAGAATATTTCCTCCACCATACAATGTCACAGACTATCTCTATCATCATTGCTTTGTGGCTGTTTCTGTTTTTTTACTGTATGTAACTGGTAGCTGATTGTACTAGGATTAAAAACAATAAACTTTCACGATAAAGCCGATGAGATTCATGGGCTATACAGCATGGGCCCTTTTCTCTTGTTTTCTTAATTTTATTTTTATTGCTTTTTAAATATGGTATGTCCTAATTAAATGCTAGCTGAACATCCACAACCTCTTTTTCATTGAATATTATATAGCTCAGTGAATCCGTAGCATATGTTGTAAAACACAAGGTTCAAATGATGTTCAAAACTCTCATCTTTGTTTTATAGCTGATTTCTTTCTCTTTGTGTCTTGAAGACTGATAAACCAAGTTCAGATATTCACCAGTTCCCTGGAGCATATCTGTTCTGCAACATGATGCTTTATTTAAAAATTTTTTTTGATCCTCTCTCTGTTCTTCCCTTTCTTCTTTCCTTCCTTCTTTTCACTTTCTCTCTTTATGCTATATTAGGTTCTTATTTTTTCCTGTTCTGGCTCTGAATCCTGGTGGACAGAACTGATCTATTCCATGGAACTCAAGCTTGTTGCCTTACTTTGAACTTGAATTGTGGATTTTTAAATGAAGATTGCAGGGAAAGAATATAAAGATGCAGAGCACTCTGGCATGTAACCTTTAAGCCTTTCGGTTTTCAGGTTCTTGCCAGATTGTTCATTACTGGAAAGCATGGCCTTCTGCACAGAATTTCCTCTCTTGTGGTTAATGCCAGGTGGAACCCAGAAACATACAGAGATAAAACCCAAATATTATTTCTATTTAAACACTGAAAAGGGACTCTTCCTTTTTTCATTCTGCAAAGAAAAAAAGTCATCTTTTAGCATGAAAGAAGATGAGAGCCTTCTTCCTCAAGCATCATTTCCATTTTGTAATCCAGCTCAGCAGTTTCTAAATGTGTTCACTGAAGACTTCAATAATTTGAAATATTCTCTTTCAGACCACAGACGAAAATCCTTTAGTTTTATGACCTACGTTAAAGACTGTATGAATAGAGCTAATATTTACTGGCATTTGAATAGTATCACTTTGGGTTCAACAAATATTATAGTACTGAATACTCCAATTTAATGGGAATTCTAGCAACTTTCTGTACTTTTATCTTCCCTAAAAATCTGAATTTTTAAGCAAAAGAGACTTTTAGTTCATTAACAAGTCAATATTGAATGTATAAATTGCTATATTAAATAACTTCCGCTGTTTGTACTATTTAATAAGCTATTTTGATTGCTTATTGGCCTACAATACATTTATGTGTACTGATCTTTCTCAGTGCCTTTATTATGTCGCAAAATAGCTGAATAGAATTATTATACAAAGATTCATTAACTACTTTCTAAAGCTGCCCAATACCTATTCTCATCAAAAACAAAACTTCAGAATGTGTTCTCTAGTTCAGACGAAATGGAGGCCTATATGTTCTGCAGGATGCTTTCAGTTATCCTTAACCTTGTGACGTTCTAACTGATAGTAGTCAGAATGCCAATGAAATGAGTGGTGATAACCCGTGAATCACTTTGAATCATGGGTAATTTTGCAGGTGTGTGTTTTTACCTTACAGCCATGGCTTTATGTCTGCGCTCTTATACCAGGGCAGGGTTGGGGAGCTGGGGAAGAATTAACAGAGTCAGAAACAGCCTCTGCCAGTTTTCAGAGAATATGGATTACATGACCTTAGAGGATGAACATTGAGTGCTCCTACTTTAGAAAGTGGGTGTAACAGCCTCAATGTAAGGAGATAGATTTGGCACCAGAAAAGAGTAATAGAGACAGCCAATTGATAATTGATTTTATTCATCCAATGTGAGACTTAATGAAATTCTTGCACTTAACATTACTACTAGAAGGAGAATAAGATAGGAAATCCAAGGTATCTTGAAGAAATTTGGTGTGGGTATAAAATGCCTTGATAATACAAATATTTTAAGTTTGTTAAGAGGTGCCCTGGAAGTGCAGAAGACCAATCTTGGATTCCATTATTTGCTAGCATTTTATTTTAATTTTATTAATATTGTTTTTCTTCTCTTAGAAAGTTGCTGGTTTTAATCATATTTTATTTTAAATCTTTTGTGGTGTCATGTAACTTAAAACAATCTTACATTAGGGAAGGTTTCTGATACCTTGGTGGGTATTTCAGATTTTTTTTTTTTTTTTGTCAGTTCTATAAAGGATTATTTCAGACATTTTAAACTAAAAGTGAAATCTCTCACTTCAGTGATCCAGCTTTACTTGTATACTTCCTGTGTGAGGAATTCAGTAGATGAGACCCAGAAATTTTTCTGTTTGAGAATATTTAGGTTTAAGTGCTGTGTTTGAAATATTCAGGGACTAATTACAGAAATCAGAAGCCTTTAATAATAATACACAAGTAGTCTATTGACAATTGATTCATATACTTTTCTAGAAGTTTGAGTTTGATTCAGATATCAGTGTTTAATCCAGAAGTTTATTGACAAAGATAAAATCTTAAATTTTCTGGTTGGATATATTTTCCTTGTGAAAAAGTTGTGATCATTGGTTGGGCAAACCAAAGTCGGTGCCATCTCATCTGGAGATAAACTATTAAATTTTGGATTGGATTGACTGAGAATCTCAACTTAGGTTTTCTTATTTTGGAGTCCCCTCAGCATTTCTGTTAAGTATTTTATCCTGCTAACTGTGCAAGTTGCAGATATTTTGGTAATAGGTGTCTAGACCCTGGCTTAATTGCTAGGATTGAAAAAGCAACAGATTCTCAGCTGAGGTAAGTTTTGACAGGCCCTAGCACAAGTTCAGGTTCTTCTCTTAGAAGCTGTGTGACCCTAAGCAAATTTTTTATTTTTGGAGACAAGGTCTCACTCTGTTACTCAGGCTGGAGTGCAGTGACGTGGTATAGCTCACTGCAGCCTCTACTTTCTGGGCTCAGGTGATTCCCCTATCTCAGCCTTCTAGGTAGCTGGGACTAAAAGTGTGCACCACCACACCTAGCTTGCTTGCTTTTCTTTTCCTTTTCTTTTCTTTTCTTTCTTACTTTTCCTCCTTCTCTTTCTTTCTTTCCTTCCTCTCTCTTTTTCCCTCCCTCCCTCCCTTCCTCCCTCCCTCCCTTCCTTCCTTCCTTCCTTTCTTCCTTTTCTTTCTTTTCTTTCTTTTTTCTTTCTTTTTCTTAAAGAGATGTGATTTTGCCATGTTTCCCAATCTGGTCTCGAACTCCTGGGCGCAAGTGATCGCCCACCTCCCGAAGTGCTGGGATTATAGGCATGAGCCGCTGTGCCCAGCTGAAATATTGTTACCTACCTGAGCTTCAGTTTCCTGCCTATAAAATGAAAATAACAAAACACACCTATTAAACATTGAGATAATGCATGTAAGCTACTTGGCACAGTACCAAGCACATAGTAAAAGCTCAAAAATCACTAGTCATCATTGTCATTGTTACTTTTTGAGTTTTTCTCGCACGTTCTTTTTGAAATTCAAAATATCCAGCTGGCTTGAAGATAGTTGTCACCTTTTATAGTCAGCTATCATAGACTGAGCTATGTCATAGGTAAAAGTACAGTGTGTTGGAAGAGTAATTATTCAGAAGCATTTTCAGGTAACCAGTGACATTGATTTTCAGGACCAGCATGGAGGCTTGAGAGGCTCAGGTGCAAAAGGTTATTTAGTACCTAGAGGGGAGTGAGTAGTAACAGGAAGTGGTTGCCAGACCATGGATGTGAACAAAGGTAAGGGCACTGCATCATTGATTTGCCTTGATTTTCACATATCAAGAGAGTAATGTGAATAATTAATATATTCATAAAGGTACAAAATTCAGGAGGTTCAAGTGTCCCATCCATCTTAACCCTCAGCCTCCCATGACTCCATCTGTAGAGGCAAACAATGTTCAGAAAAATTTTGTGGATAAGCATTAAGTATTAACATTTTTACCTGGTTTTTGTACACACACTACCTTATTATTTTTCCTTTACTAATATGTTTTAGAGGTCATTCAGATCATATAGAAAATATTTCCATTTTTTTCTTCCCTCTCTCTCCCTCTAGTTTTCCAAAGGTGCCTTCATAATATAAAGAGGTTTACTGAAAAATTTTAGAAATTTTTTCAGCTGCATCTCTGTTCTTTTCATGGCATGGAATATATGGTATGGGTATATTTGTATACAATTCTTTCACCTATGTAGGTTCGTGTAACCACCCCCACCTTTCTACTAGTACCCCACTCCCCTGTCTCTGACCCTTGGTAGCCAGCCACTGATCTCTTCTCCATTTTTATAATCTTGTCATTTAAAGAATGTTAAAAATATGAAGTCACATAGTATGTAACCTTTTGGGATTGGCATTTTGGCTTTTTTCACTTAGCGTAATTTTCTTGAGATTCATTCAAGTTGTTATGTGTGTCAATAGCTTATTCCTTTTTATTGCTGAGTAGGTTTCCAGCTCATTCTCTTTTGCAGCTGCAGAATATTTTGTGTCTTTATTATCATTCAGTTTACCAGATCTCTATTAATGGGTATTCATGCTCTCATTTGCTGTTTTAAATTGTGAATTTCTTAATGCCGTTTCTTACAGTTTGTATGAACAACAACAACAAAAAAGATAAATTGTGAATCATATATACTCAATCATTCTATGGCTTCCTATACTTGCCTGATTTCTAGCAATGAAGGAAAATACCGATGGCATCATTTACATAGACATCTTCCAAGGATGACAAGCGCTTAAGGGCCAGCACAGCACAGCGGTGAACTACTATCAAGAGAGTATGACAATAATGAGATGATGAAGGCACATCTTGTTTCCTGGAAAATCCTGCGTGAACAGGAGTCTGACAAAGCGAAGAAACATGATGTGTCTTAGAGAACCAGAATGACCGAAGACTCTGATGATCCACTGGTTCACACATGACTGAGAGTTAATACCTTAGGTCACTGTTATCAGAACCGGGATTTTTAAATGTGCGTACGCTTCAGTGACTGATCTCTCAGTTTTCAGGTCTGTTGCTTTCATATTTGTAATAGTCAAGGAGCATCCTTATGACTGGGGCTAGCTTCTGCATTCGTGAACAGCCCTCTGCCTGTCAGCAGTGCCTTGCATTTGTGATCCTACAAAGAGCCTGTAGACTTAATGGTTTATTGTATAGGGAAAGTCTTGACTTTGTGTCTTCTACTTAAGAAGCTTAAACTTTCTACCAAATATTCATATTCTTTTTCCTAAAAATACTGATCTAGGCTACAGATCCATCTCTTACCATATTTTAAAAATTGAAATAATATCTTCTGCCATAACTTGAAATCCCACTCTCAAATCTGTTATTTCTGTCAGTGACTTTGTATTTCTCAAGTAGATCTTTCTAATGCTTATTTCTTTTACATCATCTGGCTCAGCGCGAGGCTCATATATCTGTAAAGTGAGTAAATACAGGGAATGTTTCCTATATGTATGGCAAGACTCACAAATTCAGAGTCAAGCAGGTAACAAGTGAGCAAGGCAGAGGGTGGAGACTGGTAAACTAGACAACTAAATAGGTTAGGTCAATCAGGGGCAGCGCCTGCTCAGCCATAGCAGATTGTGGCCATGTGGGGATGTAGGCCTCATATTGCCAGATTTTCTGGATTTTCAAGAAAGTAAAAAATCTGGATTTTTATGTGAGATATTCCAATATTTCAGCACCAGTGTCTTTTTGTTTTTGTTTGTGAGTGCTTTGGCCCTCACAGCCTGCCTGCCACATCTGACCTGTGGGCTGCCAGCTTGAAACCTTCGATGTTTAGAGAAGTGGTTAGACAGACCTTAGTTTGTTCTGATAAGATCCTTCTTGTTTAACAGATGAGGTTTCCGAGACTCAAACAAGGGAAGGGACTTGCTCAGTCTCACAGTTACTCAGTGCCAAAACAAGACTAGAATTTGGGTTTCCTGGTCCATAACCTGTCACTGTCTTTTTTTCTTAACTACCTCTTTCATGAAGATCTCCATAAATTCTAGGATGGCGAATTCTCTTTTATCATGTGTGTCATGTGCAAAGTGCACATGTGTGTAGTTACTAAACTCTGTGGACCTGGAAGTACATTCTAATATGACTATCTCTGTCAGGAACAGTGTGATTACTTCTGAAACCAACTTCCTTAAACTCTCACAATATAAGGTAGCTATATACCTAGGATCCCTCTTAAACACTTACTACTTAGTTGTATAATTCTCATGAATCACAGAAGCTTGAAATTAACAAAGAATATTGGATTCAATTATTG